CGCCTTTTTCGCCGAGCCCTGAAGGCCCATCTATTCCGTGCGGCCGGCCTGGCGTAGTTTGATTAAGTTTGATTATGTTTTAGTGGGGGTTTTGTATGGGGTGTTTTTAGAACAGGCCTGTCATTTAATTTGATTTTAGCATAGAAATTATTTATTTATTATTGTGGTTTTTAGTATCGCCTGTTCACCGCCCTGAGTCTTGTAAGGGAGATAGGGCGGTATATAAATTTAATTAATTAATTAATTAATTAATTAATTAATAATGATACTTTGTACATCCAAATTTCTGGATGACTAATCTCAAGAATTTCAGATAAATGTTAACAAACATGAAGGATACAATGGAACTTCATATTATATTGTTTAATGATGCGGAATGGAATACAAGTCCCCAATATCACTCTGATATAATTTCTCAGCTAATGACTGGAATTTTTATAATACTACGGTTTTTAAGTCGTCCACAGATAAACCACTGGGCGACACCGTATTCCTGTTCTATAATTCTCATCATATTACAATGTAACAAGATTGATTCTATTCTGTAATAAATTTAAAACAAGATTATTCATTCTAATCAATATAATCTAGCACTGTTAGATTAATTCCAACACTTTGCCCCAAAATTATGCAATCAATTAGCAGAATTAAATCATCTTTTTTAATTAAACACTTTGTCACTGTCTCCAAGTTTCAAGGATCCCATTGTCTTTCATCCCATCTCTGCCAATTTCATGAAGCAATAAAAATCTAAGGATCAACCTTCCAATAATTTATACATGACTTACCATCATATATTAATTTTTGCTTATCTTGGACTCTTACCAAACAAAGTTATCTAAACCAGCAGAAATATAAACCTTATACAAAAAATGTCTAGTCAACCATAAGCTTTTAACTGCATGAAAAAAACTTCACTTGAAAAAGTATGATCAAAGAGAAAATCTTAAGTCTTTATTACACGTGCAGCACTCATCCAGCATCTTCAACTGTCCAAAATATCAAGGAACCAACATCATTCTATGACTGGGGAAAATGTTTGGGATGTTTTTTATTAAATTGTTCTCCTGCCTTTATTATTATAAGTAATTTGCACCTGCAAACATACCTAATACTCCTTTCTCCTCCTGTTTTTCCCACAACAACAAACCTGAGAAGTAGATTGGGTTAAGAGAGAATAACTAACCCAAAGTAACCCAGCTGGCTTTCATGCCTAAGGTAGAACTAGAATAGGGGTCTTCAAACTTGGCCCTTTTCTGATTTGTGGACTTCAACTCCCAGAATTCCTCAGCTAGCATGCCTGGGAGTTGAAGTCCACAAGTCAGAAAAGGGCCAAGTTTGAAGACCCCTGAACTAGAACTTACAGTCTCTTGTTTCTAGGCCAGCATCTTAACCACTACATCAAACTGGCTCACCACACTAAATTCAAACTGGACGTTAAAACACTAGCAGTTTGATTTTTGTGAATGACACCCACAAAGCTAAAAATAAAGATTTTTAAAAGTTAACTAGGAAAGTATACACTGAAAGTTAAAAATCCATATTAATATTAACAAAAGCAATATTAACCAGTACGCTTAGCTATCATAACTGAGCATAAATATTGAACATAGTATATAATTGTTTTCCTGAGCTGAACAATATGCTAAAGAAATAAAGAAGAGACTATTTCTAGGAAAAAGCAATGACACTTTTATAAAATATCACGAAGTCTAGGTATATTTTTATGCCAATACATAGCAGAATAATTAAAGCAATAGCCATCTAGGAACTGAAAAAAGAATGAAAAAAAGTAAACATCTGAATCAAAGATATGAAGAATACCGCAGACTAGAAAAAAAAACCCAATCAATCCATGCTGGAAGAAAGACTGACAGACTATTCCATTGAGGCAATAATTACCAAGTAGAAACTCAATCTTGGGCATGCAATGACAGCTGAGGATGAAATGAGGATGAAACTAGATAAAACGACTAGATTGGTAAAGTTGAGAAACGTAGAAGACAGGAAGGCAAAGTGGATAGATGAAACCCTGGAATGTCCATAAAAAAACTGTGGAGCATCACCAGGAACAAATCAAGATGGAGGGTAATTGTCCATAGAATCTCCAGGAGTCAGACCTAACTCAATGATATCCAACAACTGTACAAATGAGCTTGAGCAAGCCAAAGATCAGGAGAAGAAATAAATTATCATTTAGTTTTATTTTATCAAACGTTTTGACAACATAATTCCTGCTTTATATGTTATGACAAACAAGGACTTGTGATTAGGTTAAGTCAAAGTTTATTCTTCCTTTTGGACTCATGGGAGGAGTACTTAAGACTGAAGCTTTGCTCTGGCTTGCCAAGGCTCATTCATTTATCATTAAATTACAATTAAAAATTATATATGGGCTAAGTCTGTAACATGTACCTGATTTAGTTGCAGATTTAGTCATTTCAGTATAGTCTGGATATGACAAAGGAGACTCTTGTGTATTAAACTGGTCACTAAAAAGGGGGGTAAAATTAGCAGTAATTTTTAAAAATGCCAAAAAGTCATCAAAATTATGAATACATATATAATATTTACTCTGACCTTTCACCCACTAAACTTGGAATGCATTTTAGTAAGTAGAGAGCACTTTTTAACACCTGGCCAAACTGTGCTACTAGATCTCTCTGCATCCAAACAATTTGGATTTCCTCAGGAACCAAAATTAAACGTACACTCTCTCTTCTTCTCTCTCATATACCAATTGCTAAACAAACTGAGCAGGGATATTCGTCAATATCTCTCATTCCATTGGTACAAATTATTTATCGTAACTTTTCATCAACTGTTGTGACCAACCGCTGCAAGTAACTTAATAACTTTCTGATAGGTTAAGGCAGGGGTGTCACACTCAATTTCATTGAGGGCCGCATCAGCATTGCGGTTGCCCTCGGGGTGGTGGTGGCCAGGGTGGGTGCAGCCTACTGGATGGGCGTGGATGAAGTGGGTGTGACCTACTGGGTGGGCATGGCCAGCTCTACATCGTTCACATCAAGGGTGCCTGTGGGGGCCTGGATAGAAGTGGGACAGATCTGAGGATCTCTGGCAGAAGGGGGTGGGACCGGGGCAAGCGCCAAGGCATGGTCCATTTCTTCATTCCTCACAAAGAGTGACACCTCCCCAGAATGCACCCAGTGGGTGAGACCGACGCAGCAGGGGCTGGTTCCTCGCTGTTTCTAGACGGCCTTGTGGAGCTAAGACTGAATGCGTTTCAGCATAGACGGCTACCACAAAATTGTACATTGGCTCCCGGCTGGTCTGGGCCAGGGCCAAGGCAGTGGGGGCTGTTCCCTCACTGTTTCCAGGATGGCTTCGTGGGCCACATGAAACCACTTCGCAGGCCGCATCCGGCCCCCGGGCCTTATGTTTGACATGTCTGGGTTAAGGAGTTCACACACTTCTCTTGCAAACCAAAGAAATCTCCTGTAATCTAATTTGGTCAGAGGATAGCAACACTCATTACAGCGAACTGCAACTCACAATTAGATGATCAGTGCTCCTAAGAGGTTTGTTTTTAGCACACTCTACCCAAGAGTTGACACAGCACTGAGAATGAGTGGGCGGCAAACCACCTGTTTCTCAAGCAAAATTGTCTCACCATAACCAGTTTGAGGATTTCATCAGCCGGGAAAGGAGCAGGAGTCTGTTTGCTCTCTCCCTGGATAAGCTGAGGAAAGGAAATTGAGCCTCTATTTATATCCTCTGGTCAAAGTCTTGAAAGCAATACCCAATCCTTTATGCCACGTGTATTTTTTTTTAATTAACAAGGAATGTAAATGGGATAAAAGACAACATATTTTACCTTCTCTTAGACTTCTACTTGTTTCCTTATATCAGAAATGAATGCTTCTTCTTTAATAAGTGATTTAATATGAAACACATTGGTTTCGTTTATTTACGTGACGCATTTAATTTAACACAATTTTATACAGCGTTTTAAATTTAATCTACCCGTCTTGTAGTAAAAGAATCATACCACAAGAGGTCATCATTACTGAACATAAAAAATGATGAGCTTCTGAGCCTGAGCAGATACAATCATGTAAAGGCAAAATGTAAACCATGGGATAAGAAACAAAGCATGGAAACCTTAAATTCCGTAAACACTAATACTCTAGTTCAGGGGTAGGCAACCTTGGCTCTTTTATGAGCTATGCTGGCTCAGGAATTCTGGGAGTTGAAGTCCACGAGTCATAAAAGAGCCAAGGTTGCCTACCCCTGCTCTAGTTGATCAGCAGTCGATATTAATGCAACATTTAGGTATTAATATTAGTCTTTAAAAGTTTTAAACTTTGTTCTTTTGTTTTTTTCACAAATAAGATATTTTCCAGTTTTACTTTGAAATGTATTAGAAAAGTGAAAAACTTATATGGCAGTGATGGCGAACCTATGGCATGCGTGCCAGAGGCGGCACTCAGAGCCTTCTCTGTGGGCACACGCGCCATGCCCCGGAGATGGCAACTGTCTCTCTTCAACCAGCCGCCTGCTAACTCGCTGAGGTCCCACATGGCCAGATGCATCCCAGCACGGCTGGTTTCCTTCCCCTCCGTCCCATCCCTCCTGGCCTCGCATGCTCTCCTTTTTCTGGGTGCGACCCACTGCATCGCCTCCTCAGCTGTCAGCTGTCCGTCCAGCTCAGACGCAGCTTCTCTGAACTTCTGGTGGCGGGCTGCAACGCCCCAGAGTGCGCCGGTCGAGGGGCTGGCAGGCTGTGGCTGCTGATGGACACTGTCGGCCCCTGTGCGCTCGCTGGCCTCTGTGTGCGGGGGGCTGATGGTGTCAGGCAGCGGCTGCCCCAGCCCTTTCCTCACCTTGCCCTGCAACAATGGCACCCCTGTCCTGCCTCACCTTGCCTCCTGCCCACCATCCCACCTGCCAGAGACCCCCTGGATCTCCCCCAACCCTGCCCAGTCCCCACAGGCGTCCCTCCCCACGAGCAACATCGAGATGACCACCCCCACTTGGCCACACGCACTGTCTGCCATGACCACTACAGCCACGCCCACCCAGTGGGCCATGCCCACCTGGCACCCAGCAATAAATAAGTGGGTTTTGGGTTGCAGTTTGGGCACTTGGTCTCTAAAAGGTTCGCCGTCACTGCTATATGGGGTCCCAATCCTACTTTCAGTCTTAAGCAAAACATTTTCATTAAAAAGGCATCTGATTTATCTCAGGAAGCTTGGAAATTAGAATAATTTATATCTATTATGGAAAAGGAAATTCTTAATTTAAAAAAAAAATATTTCTAAATCTATTTAAAACTATTCATTAGGAACTATGTTACTATTTCATGAGAACTGCTTAAATAAGCAACATTTATCACCTACACACCTATGAAATTATAAAATAGTTCTTAGAGTCGGTTAAATATTAATGCCTCAAATATTATTGTATTCTAGGGAATGGAGCAATAGGGGAGAAAACTAACGTGTGCAGAAGGCACTAACATTATATGAATTATTTTAGCTATATTCTAAGGATATTATCTGAAATAGACACATTTAAAATTAGAGATGTCTTGTATCATTTAACCTAGTCTACCTATCAGTGTAAATTCTATATTTAAAAGGACATGCACCTAAGATTTCGTGCATTACTGGTACAATTAATATTGTCAGTGAATTAAACTAAGCCAATTGTGGCATTTAAACAAGCAGCTTAAAAGAATAAGGAAAGCTGAAAATACATTGTCAGAGATTAATTAAGTTAGGTATAGGTAGCTGCAACAAACTGACATTAATAATTCTACAATGTAAAATACAAAAGTATAGAACAAACGAGTAAATTTAACTTATCAGTCTACAGAAGGTTTTAGTCTTAGCAATTATAAAGAAGAGTATATGCCAGTCCTCCTGCAATCAAATATTCACTTGAGTAGTAAAACTAATTCTCAGTTCAGTTTCTATGTTCAATGAATAAAAACAAATTTTGGAATATTCTGGACTTTTTTTGCACACTATGGCATTTAAATTTTTTTTAAAGCATATAATGAAATGATCTAGATCCAACTCAGGCCTCAATCCTATGCATTCGCTCAGAAAGAACAGAGATATGAGTGGTCCTAGAATCAACACTATAATTGTACACTCTGAAATAACCTCGGTGTAGGCTGGGGAGCAGGGGGCAGCAACTATTACTAGCTTCAATTGGTATATCAATTAGTTTGTCCTTTCCTGAACACAAACAGCTACTAATGATGTCCATGTTCTGATAATTTCGAACTTAAACAGCTATAACCTGTTCCATATATGGTTACTCTTGTAATTGGGGCAGAAGCTAAAGCTGCAGCTACAATAGAGCAATTGGGTATTTATATATAACAGTTCTGCTGAAATAACTACAGTAGCTTGTAAAGCCAGATTCAAAGCTTTGCTTTTGACATGTACAGTAAGAACCTAACCAACTTGGGACTAGATGGCCCAACCATACTGATCCGGACATTGAGAGTCTAGAACAAGGGTCCCCAACCCCCGGTCTGTACTGGGCCGCGGCATGCCAGCAACAGGGCCGCACAAACAAGCAAGCCCCATCTATGGGATGCAGGCAGACACAAAACCACGCACCCTCCGGTCAGCAGAAAAACCTCTCTCCACAGAACCGGTCCCTGGTGCCCAAAAGGTTGGGGACCTCTGGTCTAGAAATTCACTTCTAGTTGTTTGTTTATATTTCTGACCTGCCTATAATTACATCTTCCCTTGATCCTGGCCTCTTCCATATGGAGGAAGTTTTCTTCCTGTTTGTTTTTTCTGTATGTTGGGGTTTTTTTTTTAAAAAAAAAAAACACTGTTCTTAATTTATTGCTTTTAATTCTTATTGTACATTTTGAAAGTAACTTAGAGATGTTTTTGCATAGGAAGCAGTATATAAAATTATTTATCTATCTATTTATTTGTTATTAGTTTATATTTCAAATTCTAGGCCAGCTTCAACTCTGGACAACTTAATACAGAAAAATCGTAAAATTTCAACTAAAACTCCGAAGTACATGTTATCCAGGAGGAGGAGGAGGAGTAGCTAACTCTCAACCCCACTCACAGAAATAAAAATAGGTAACACCCCACCCCAATCCTGCTTTACCCTAACCTGTCCTATGGAAATGTGTTTTTAATGCACTTTTAAAGCTGGCAAGTTGGGAGTCCTGCAAATCTCTGGAGGAATGCTGTTCCAGGATAATATAGGTGGAGAAAATGGTACAAGTTAAAAACACAATACTGACCTTTGCCTGCTGAATTGTGCTGGAAATGGTATGTTTCTCATTTGTGGAAAAAATTCTTCTCCTGTTATCTTATTATGATGATCTATATAAGTTAGTGGAAGACAGGCATCCCTGGCGCTCAACTGGATAGGCAGCTTTTGTGAAAAACTTTCATGATCACTCCTTGGGATAAATTGCTGATCAAAATACAGCCTCTTACCTGTAATTAAACAAAACTTGCAGTATTCTCACTAGTCAGGAGTAGGCAACCTTGGCTCTTTTATGACTCGTGGACTTCAACTCCCAGAATTCCTGAGCTAGCTGCTGGCTCAGGAATTCTGGGAGTTGCAGTCCACGAGTCATAAAAGAGCCAAGGTTGCCTACCCCTCCACTAGGTAAACATGCGGAAAGATAGCTTTTAAGATTGAAAAAAAAAACATCTATTCAGAAACACGATTTTTTCACGTATTTGCTGTTTTTGCTAACTGCAACTGAACAACTACTGGTAGTCTTCAACCTGACAACCATAATGGAGTCGGCCCGTCATGCTCATAAATCATGAAATCCACGTGGCTGACCCAATTTTAAGACCTTTCGGTGGTAGTAGTTAAATGTACGCTGCCATTGTTAAGCAAGCCAATGATTCACCACAGGCTGATTTTGCTAAAAGACAGAAGTAAATCCTGGTTCTCGGCAAAACTACATTATAAAACACAGTCACATGACCATGGGATGCTGCAAATGGCTGTAAATGTGGGCAGAGAACCCAACATGTGGTCATGTGACCAGGGGGGGGGAAGAGACGCCATCAGAACATTGAAACCGGGTTGCAAATACCTCCAGGAAAGTCTGTCATAACTTTGAACAGTCGTACGTCCAGGACTACCTGTATACTGTACCTTTATAAAAAATACAGGTGATTGGTTTGCCTTGCATCAAATATTTTTCTAAAGAAATATAAATGTTTAAAATGTTTGTAAAAGTCCTTTAACAAAATTTCAACTGTGCAAAACTTCTTGAAGAAGCTTGTCTTTCTTCCAGCAAGAGCATTTACTAGACTGAAAGCATAATGGACTGATGGCTAATTTAAAGCTCAAACTACTATACAGAGGTTATAATATCATACATACATCATTACCTAAGAGTGAATCTCACTAAATTGAAAGGTACTTACTTCTAAGGTGGAAATACATACAGGGTTGCATTGACTAAATCTGAAATAGGTTTATTGATAGAAGAATGATATTTAGATTCACATTCAAAGGCTACCTTCATTATTTTAAAAAGTGTTAAAATACTGCTATAGAAAAAAACTATGGATTAGTATTCTTACAGTCATTGGGAAGAAATAGTTTATCTGGAAGTAGATTCCCACAGGAAACAGTTTTGGACAACCTTGCGCGAGCATTGCTGACTTTTCTGATCTCCGCTGAATCCACTGGTGGTAAAGGTGGGGAAACGCAATAGTCTTCATAATTAGAGGCTGATGACAATAATTTTGGCTTCTGTTATAAAACAAAATTTAATTTAGCATACGAACAATTCAACCACAAGAGTAAAAATTCCTAATTCCTTAGAAGATATTCTCATAAAGGTTTACACTGAATACAACAGAATTCGAAACAAAACTAAAAAAGATTGCATTGTGTAAATTTTGTAAAAACATTAGTCACGTTATTAATTCCCAATAGGCAGAGCTATTTCTCCAGTTTTGAGATTTTTTGCAAGCATTTCTTAAATCACTTGCATGATATATGCCGCAGTCCCATTATATTGGGTAAAATTGACAACATGTGCCAATGCACACAGAATTCACTTGTTCAAGTATTTCAGTTTATAAAACAAAATCCTAGCATTTATGAATGCAAATGATATAGGAAATGCTTGTAAAAAAAATCTCAGAACCAGAAAAATAGCAATTGATTTCCAGCAGAAGGTGGGATCACAACTCAAGACTTAAGTAGTCTATAACTAAGCCTTCTATTGATTGCAACCTACAAAAATGCAAGAACCAACATTTAGTCCTTCTGAGCTGGAGCTATCTTCTTGACCCTCATGCTTGAATCATATAATTAACAAAAGGTGCAGTTGCTCTTTGAATCAAAAGAATGGAGCTCAGGTTTTTTTACCCTGAACAAGAGCATTCTTTAGCCTACCATCACTGGGGAAACCAATGGCCACAGAAAAAGTATGCTACATCTTTTATAGCGAGTGACAGCTAAGGGCTCTATTTTGTCCTAGATATGAACTATCTGGTTGCTATAGGCCAGGGGTAGGCAACCTTGGATCTTTTATAATTTCTGGACTTCAACTCCCAGAATTCCTGAGTCAGGAATTCTGGGAGTTGAAGTCCACGAGTTATAAAAGAGCCAAGGTTGCCTACCTCTGCTATAGGCTAATGCCAGAACACATTTTTCTGTTCTTAAATTGCAAATTCACTCTCCTGTTCTGAAGTTACAATGTATCTTTGCCCCTCCTGTGACCTGAGTACCTTCCCCTTGATGCACACCCCCAGCCAGATCACAATCTTGAGCAGATGACAAAATCCCCAGTGGAATATGGCAGTAGGTTTAAGCATCAAGCTGCATCATCCCTACAAATTGCAGGTTTTCTTAGTGTCAAGATTTAATTGGGCACAGAGTATACAAGCATTGCCAAAAATAAATACGCACATGGTCCAGTGGGCTGAGGCGTGCACAAGAGGCAGGTCTTGACTCAACTGACTCAAAGCTAGAAGAGTGGAGACTAGAAGGAAAAACAAATCATAATAATCAATGTGTACACAGCTGTTTATGTGTTTTTCACCACAAGATTTCCTTCTGTGTGTCACTAATGCAGTGAAAATATTTTTACTGCCAAGTTGCTCAATTTACCTCAAACTTCTTTCTTGGAATAATACGTAAAGGACAAAAATGCTTTGTTATAAAGAAAAACAAAAGTTTTTGTTTTATCTCATAGATTCCTAGCTGGTAAATTCAGTGGAAGAATTAACACTGTTATTGTTTTGTGCCCTTCTGTATGTGGTGATAAATAATTACAGTGGTTAGCCATTCAGTGACAAAGTTTCTCCTCTATAAGCAATTGTTTCTGGAATCACAAAACCAACCAAAAAAAAGAGAGTTTTAGCCAGTACATTTCAGCAGCTTTAGCTTCCTATACACAAAACCTAGTAACGGTTTTGGATTGGAATTTTCATTTTAGAAGTGAGTAACTTTAAATATTTCTAGAGGACCTATGTCGTAATAAGATATGGACAACTGCATAATTGGTTTTTTATTTCTTGAACTGAGAATGATGAGAAGTATTCAAGTAGGTTTCAAGCCTACATATTCAGTATGAACAAAGGTGTTCCCCCCCCTTGTTTTTCATACCTAAAAGCAGAAGGTGGTCTATTTTCAGGTGTCCTTGAAGAGGTGGAACCAAAAAGTTTCCTTCGCTCATCTCTTGGTGTAAATGGCCTTTGAGTTCTTAAAGTCCTTAGTGTACTTCGTGCTTCATTTATGATCTCAGCACTAGTCTTCTGGACAGGTAATAAAGATTTATAGAATGCTTCTGAATAGTCTAGATTTTTGTTCTTTGAAGACTGCATATTGCTGCACAGAAAAAGAAATAAAATATTTAAGACAGGATTATTTCCCATGTAAGTTTTTAGAATTCAGATTACACGGTAATGTACATCTAATCCTTGTAGTTCCCAGTATACTGGACATTAGTCCATGCTGCTTAGCCATCTGTCTGCACTGCAGATTAGCATAATCAGTCTAGTCTATACATAAGCAAAAACCATACTACGACAGGATTTTCCAATACAGTACTCTGATCTATATACTTTTATGATATATAACATAGCTTCCAACTGTAGTGAATATCCCTTCAGCAAGAAATTAACAAGCACACATAAGACATATAGACCACAATAAACACATAGTCATTTCTGACAAATACTAAGCACATAGAGCTTATAAAACAAAAATGGACCCTGGCAGGTTCACAGCTGAACATCAAGACAGTCAGCCTATTAGTTAACTAGAGCCCTAAGCTATTCAAAGCTTTAAAGCTTAAGACCAACATTTAGAATTAAGTCTGGAAAACAACAAGCAAATGGAATCAGTGAAGATTTCATACTGGAATTAAAAACATCATAATATTTATTAATTAACAAGCATAATTGTTGCATTTTGCAGCAACCTACAGAATCTCTGGAACCTATTCAATAGTAGAGCTAATTTAAATAGTCTTAAATATGATCTAATCGAAATATGGAAAACTTACCAGATCAGATTCCAAGGTTCCCCACTAATGCTAATTACAGCATTAAGGATTTTTAAAGTCTCATTTAAATATCTTTATGTTGCCTAACTTCAGGTCTTGTTTCTGAAAAATTCTAGGCTTTCATTTCTGTTCTGTTATATTAATGCTTTATGCGAAAAAACATCTTATCAGTGGAAGAACTGGGCCAAGCAGGACAGAGTTAATAAGACAGAAACACAACAGAAGGATACGCCTTAGAAGTTGAAGTAAGAAATAATGACTGTACATCTAAAGTTTGATAAACGTTTTACGAGTAGCAAAGCAGAATGTCATCTTAAGTCTTCTGAATATGTAATACCTCAAAAATAAATGTGATAGATCACAGACCTACAGTACCAGAAGGTGTAATCAAACCAGCATATCCACTCTCTCTCCATGTTATTATACAAAGTTTACAGTCTATCTGAACTGTTCAGAGACACAGTTTTTCAACCTGCATAAAGAACAGAAATTGTTCCAGCTAGTACAAAGCTTCTTCTGTTACTGGAGCTACAATTATTCTTGCCCTACTTAATGACAAAAAACCCACGCAGAAGTATAAGAAGCACAGGAAAATCTTTTTACAAAGATGAAAGATATACAAAAGCCACTCACTGAAAGCGTCTCTGTTACATGCTCTCACAGCCAAACATGATAATTCTCCAAGTTGAAAGAAAACTACACTGATATCCTTTATAAAAGCACTCACCTATTAGTTTATATTTTAGTGAGTGATGCAATAATGATATTTTGGCAGGATTTGAACAATAAAGAGAAAAATCTAGTTTCAAAAGAAAGAAGGCAACCCTATATGTGCTATTAAACAGAAAACAAGCATTGCTGATTAGTATTTAAATATTAGTATTCTAATATTATATTAGAATAAACAATCAATTTAAAAAAGAACTATGTTCCCTTTCAGTATGTATGTGTGTGTGTGTGTGTATGTGTGTGTGTATCAATGAAACCTGTTTTAATGCATTTATAATTTTTAAAAAGCACACCAAATCAGTTACTTTCTGTGTTAGTCAGCAATCCATTTGGAATATTTGATTTGTTACTTGCAAGGCATAAAAAGACACTTCAATTTCATTTTCAGTGTAATTTCTGCAGCTCTCATTTCTAATCGCTTCTTTTCAAGTTCAGAGAGCAGAAATACATAGTCTTATCATAGAGTAGCTGGCTACGTATCCGCACTTGATTACACCTGAGCTAAGTGTGTGTGAATTGGTTCCACTGGGATGCATTATGTTCCAGTAAGAAAGAAATATTAAAATCTAATTGTAATATTGTATCCATTCCTATGTTTACTTGCTAATGAATTTATGAAAAATTTTATTCCGTGGTTTTTGTAGAGGATTCAAATAACTTTCCTAGAATAAAGCAGATCATCCTTTCACACAGCTCTATTTCTTTCCTTCTTTCTAACTCCACTCACATAACTATCCCATTTACTTTGATTTTGCCTGTTACGTCTGTTTTTAGCTTCTAAATTAATTAATTTGCACCTTATTAAATCAATCATTTAAATAATGAATAAGAAACACAGAATAAAAGCAAGCCGCCCTGGAAAAACTTTTTCAGCTGCACTCAGTAGTCAGAAACCCAAGAGGGCTTTAGCTAGGAATTTTAAATAGTAATTCTTCATTCATCAGAGAAGACTATTTTTTATGCTCAACAGATTTTTAGAAGCAGCTTGTAAATTGGCATCGAGAGCAGTATATATTTCATTTAAACAGAATTCTGACTAGATCTTATTAGGCATTTGATATCCCTAAAGAATATCTAGCTAGAAAAATGGAAAACAGTTTAACTCTGATCTTGTCCATATACAAAGGCTACACCCGTCAAGTTGGCAACACACACACCATGGCCACAGAATGTTAGAAAGCCACTGTGGTATATTAAGATACTGGACTGACATCCAGAAATCCAGATTTAAGTCCACCCTCAGCTATGGAAGCTCACTCCTGCACTGTCTCTCTTTTTCTTATCTTACCTCACAAGGTTGGGAATTATGAGAAGAGGAAACACTATAAACAAGTACGTTGCTTTGAGTTTCTGAATAAAAAGGGAAGAATGATAAAATCTTATCAATAAATTAATTGTTGCCTGCAATTTATATTAATGTAGCTGTCTCGGATGAATATTATAAAGACTGGTGGTAACTTTGGAGTGTTTCCTCTAGAGCAGTGGTGGCGAACCTATGGCACGGGTGCCAGAGGCGGCACTCAGAGCCCTCTCTGTGGGCATGCGCGCTGTCGCCCCAGTCCTAGGCCTTCAGCTGGGTTTTATAAAACTTTTTCGCTTTAGGCTTCCGTCACCATGTGCAAAAAAAGAAAAAGGTTCAATCAATCAGTCAATTTCAACTTCTTGCGGGAAAAAAAAGAACTTGCAAAGTTGAAATTGATTGATTGAACTTTTTAGTCCCACCCAGTCTGCCGTTACCATCGCAGCCACGCCCACCCAATGGGCCACACCCAGCCGGCACCCGACGATGCATAAGTGGGTTTTGCGTTGCAGTTTGGGCACTCGGTCTCTAAAAGGTTCGCCATCACTGCTCTAGAGTTGTGGAGCAGGGAAGAATTGGCAAGAACTTCCACTTTGTCCTACTATGCAACTCTGTGCGTTCTCCTCTGCACAGGTAAGAAACCAGAATGTTTTGTCACCATTCCCCATCCTCCTCAGCCATTCTGAGGCAGCTCTCCCACATTCTATATATACCAAAGAACAATTGGGTAGAAGCTCCATCGTGCACAAAGTGACTTCCTAGTAAACATTTATAAGGATCATAGGACAAGTTATAATCACTGATATAATCATAATGTATGAAACTAAACATCAGAAAAATTAAACTTCTTAACAGACTTACATAAAGTCGCACCATATACCTATTATTTCTTTATTGATTTTAAAGACACATCAGTACAAAAGCTACAACATAGAGGGGGGTTTTTTAAATAAAAAAAACAATAACTCACATCGTTTGTCATAGGAGCAGGAGCATTTGATAAGTTTCTGAAAGATCTTGATGGAAGAGATCACTCACTCCTGTCTCTGGAGCCAAACTGTTCCAAGGAGGGGAACTCCAATCAGGAATGATACCTTCTTCTTCCAAATATCTTAGAAGAAGAGCACCCTCAACAGACACACTCTGCTTGCATATACCAAATGAGCAAATTCTATCTAGGACAAGTACAATACAAATACAAAACTATGAAAGGGATAATCAGCATCTTAAACTGCACTCAGAAAGACAGTGATAGTCACTGCAGCTCCCATATTAGTGTAAATACTACATTGATTGGTCTGGCCCTTATCAGACATTAGACCAGGGTGGATTTGATTTAAATCAAGTCGATTTAAATCATGATTTTAATCACTAGTAGAAAGGCTTGATTTAAATCAATTCGATTTAAATCATAATTTTGAAAGAGCAACTGTCATCTCTGTCCCGCAGCGGCTCCTCCTCTGACCCGCTGTTGACTCACCAACAGTCCCATTCACTTTAATGTGAGGGCTGGTGATGCGGCAGTAACACAACAAGGTGAGGGATGTGGAGGACAGCACGTAAGGGAATGCCCGCTAACAGGCGCCGCCATGATGGATCTGAAATGACAGGTGCTCTTTAAATGTAAAGCCTCATTCTTGCTGGTGGTTAGAATGTTTAATACTATTATTTGCAAACAAAACGAAGGTTTCCTATTTAGAATAATAAGCTGTCAGGTTAGTAAAACAGCGATATCAGAACTGATTTTAGGTTAATAGGTTAATCGCACACACCGTGTTTCCCCGAAAATTACATCTACTCTGATTTTGGGGGGTGGGCCTAATATAAGCCCTTCCCCCAAAATAAGCCCTAGTTAGGATCCTGCCCACTCCGTTCCACCTTGCTGCCGCAATGGGGCAGGAGAGCATGTGTTGTGCCACTGCCACTACGAGGCAAGGCAGGTGGGGGAGGGGGTGGAGCTGCCATAGACACCCTGCACCTGCTTACTTCACACACGATTTTAGCACAGAAACTATTTATTTATTATTGTGGTTTTTAGTATCGCCTGTTCACCGCCCTGAGTCCCGTAAGGGAGATAGGGCGGTATATAAATTTAATTAATAAATAAATAAATAAATAAATAAACACACACCCATCCAGGCCATTTCTTGCTCAGCGACCTTCCCTTTCACTCCCCTCCCGAGCTGGACTACCATGCTACAGAGAATGGGCAGGATAGGCCTGGTCCCTCTCCGCCATTTCGGAGCCAGCTCCATTTCATGCTGAATAAACTAAATTATTAATGTATCTTAAATAGAAAACTATATTTAGATAGATTTTTACTCCAAAAGCATTTTATTAAAATAAATTTGATAAAAAAAATCCGATTTAAATTTAAAAAATACGTTTTTTAAAAAAATTATCGGTTATTATCCACCCTGCATTAGACAGACAGTTACAATGTGCACCACTTGGAATTTCTGGGTGGTCTTGGAGAGCAGTCTCATGTAATGAGAATTCACTTAATTCTATATCCAGTATTTAAAAGGCCCATGATAAAAATAATTCTAACTGTTCTTCAGTAATAGTGGAACAGAAACTGCAATACATTTTACAGAAATTGCACAATCCCTCAAACATATACATTAATTTCTTGGAGCACCTTTTTCAAAAGATATGTGGAAGTATTTATTCTCCCATGAGCAACTATCCATAGTTTCTATCAAACAGCATAATTCCCAGAATTCTTTAAAAAAAATCCTGACAGTTAAACTAGTAGAAAATTTATTTAACCCTTTGGTAAGATTTATAACCAAACCAATTTTTCAATCTGGAAGATTATATCAAAATACTTCTGATTCCTATTGTTGTTTGGGCTCTTTCTTTGTGGCAGCCCCTCAAATATTGGAAGACTGCTTTAATGTCACCTAGTCCTTCTCTTTGTTAGACTAGACATAGACAGTTCCTGAAACCATTCATCATGTTTTTGCCCCCAGACCCCTAATCATCGTTGTTGCTCTTCTCTGCATTCTTTCTAGAGTCTCAACATCTTTTTTTGTATCATGGTGACCAAAACTGGATATAGAATTCCAAGTGTGGTCTTCCCAAAGCAGTATAAATCTGTATACTGCAGCATACTGCTAGCTCGTATTTAAGTGGCTGTCCACTAGGACTCCTAGCTTCCTCTCACAGTTACTGCTGTTGAGCCAGGTGCCACCTATTCTATACCTGTGCATTTAGTTTTTCTGGCCTAAGTGTAAAACCTTACTTTTCTCACCGAGTTACATTTTGTTGTATAGGGCTCAGTGTTCAATTCTGTCAAGATCCTTCTGGATTTTAAGCCCATCTTCTAAAGTTATATTGTACTACTGTATGTTTTTCACTATCATACATGTTAACACAAAACATAGAAAGAATAAAAAGGAGAACTCCTTATAGACTATTTAGTCCAATCCCATGCTCACATTAACTAAGCCATCCCTAACTCCTGACCATCTAAGCCCCATTTAAAGATCATCAATGATCTAAGAGAGATTAGAACACACTCCTTGCTCTAAATATTTTCTAAATTATGGTAAAAGATTCTTAGTAAGCTAAGATATATAAAGTGTTGCTTTCCTTATCAGAAATATAATTCAGCAAATATAGACATTTCTATGTTAGGTAGAAATAAATGGTGCCAACAGTAAAGATGTCTTTGAGCCAAACTCCATACTTATTAACTATAAGACACTTAAATACAGTTTCATTGGCAACAGTTACAGAAGCACCCCTTTTTTTGCAAAGTTTTTCAAATTCCCAATCTGACTTATAGACCCAAATTCTCTGTTGGTTTCATTTAAACGCTACCAGCCTTGTTTAGTTTTCAAATTCAGATAAGCCAAGCAAGTGGTGAAATTTATTTCTGAGCCATAACCATTTTTTTGTAATGCAAGAATTACAGAAACAAAAAGGTAGATTACTTTTTCCTGTCCCATCCTCTTTAGTCTCTCTTTGTTAAATAGTATAGAAAGTTACCCTTCATGGCCTTCAATTGACACAGGTTATACAGTGGGGAACAAAAGCATCTTGAATATAAGGAAAAGAATTGTGTTCATACCTTTCTTTCATCTTGTGATAGTTGGAGGATTTTAAAACTGATAACACACATCACCCAAATTCTTATCCCTCCTTGCAAGAAATTTAATATAAGTTCAGCACCAAAAGGTCAGCAGTCCTTCTATTCTCTCAAGTTCAATTTCCTCTCGTCCCTCAATTGATACTTACAAATAGACCTTGCTGTGCTGTTTTAGAGTTTGTGGGTATGGTTATGGAGAGGGGTTACGTGGTGTTATGGTGAACTGTTGTCATCAAAAGACAATATGGATTATTTGGTTTAACTCTGGCTTCTGTGTTTTATAAATCATACTTCGTGATTTAGGAAGACGGCAAACACTCAGATCATATGGCAGTTCCCCATCTTACACCTTCAGAATCTGCAAACATCTGAACAATAGCCATGGGAACTGAGAATTCTGATTCTCCACACATCTGGAAGACACTATGGCGCATATGGAGAACAGGTTGAATAAGACACATGTGGTTAAAAGAATCAATATGAGATTCAGCTCATCCATCATAGTTCTAAATCAATTTTCTATTTAAGCCTTTTTCTTACATATATGTTCCTCTCAGCCTATTAAATTCTTACTCCCTGAAGAAACTGTCTCATATATACTTCCTAAACAGCTTGGGACTTCAGTGCAGTTTTGATAAGGAAATATCATAAAGTTCAATAGATGGGCTCAGAATTATTCCAAAATCTTGGCCATCGTTTCCACAACATATTAACCCATGATTAACTAAATCAATATATACTGTTTTCTGGACTTACATAAGACAGTAAACTGCAACATAAAAAACCTCATGGACTGATCATGCAAGACTCGAGTCTAAAATGTGGTTGGTTAGATGTGTTGCTGCATGTTATGCGAACATTGTCATACCTGGCAGCATATCTGTTGTACATACTTCATTAACTTCTGATATAAGAAAGCACATTCACCATTTGCTTTGTTGCAAACTCACTATTAGCTATTATTATTGACAAGCATTAGGATGAAATGCAAGTTGATTCCAGCATTTCTCTAAAAGAGAAGGTGAAATAAATAGGGACCTTCCTTTCCTACTTTTCAGAGACTGCCCCTTAAATTATCTGTTTAATTTTCATTATCTTCTAGGAAACGACGCATCCTTGTAGCTAATAGTTACTGTATATAATTACGGTATCTCACCAACAGCAGTAATTCCCATCAAAGTTTCACAGGCGAGGGAGCGCGAATAGGCACCTGCCATAGTATATCGGCCAGATTCCTAACGCGCGCTGGCCATGGCAAGTGACACAACTTATGCCCGTGCACGCTCAACCCACACGCGGCAAACCGAATGCAAATCGTCAGGCTTCCGCGCGGCAAGCTCCCGGCACAGTAGCCCGGCGACCCCGTTACCATAGCAACCGTACACGCACGGGCCTTCCTTCATTACAAGCCTTCCCTCGATTCTTCGCTCCTTAGCTTAGTGATTGCGGGGGAAAACCTCGATCGAGAAAGCGACCAGAAACGAGCGGTCATCACGTACACAAATCAGAGTTGCTTTCCTTCTCCCGCCGTAGCCGGTGTAGCACGAAAATTGGCCCTTTTCCCTTCATTAAATACTGCGCAAACTCAGAAAAGCTGAGCATGCCCAATAGCGCCGATTGACGCCTTTGCCCTTCGCCTATTGGTAACTAGCGAGCCGAGACTGAGCATGCTCAATAGCATTAAGTGAAGTCTATTGTACCCGTAGTTTGTCCTCTTTTATTTTGTGGTGCGCCCCCGAATAAGGGCGAGAACTAGATATTCACAAGATAAACAGTATTGTATATTCCTTATATAACTCTGTATCGTTACTTTAGTAGCACCATCTGGTCTCTTAATTGTTTTTTTCCATAAAGGTTTATCTTTTAATTGCTATAACTGCGATCATACAATATTGTAGCCAGTATTACACAGCCCAAACCTCAGCAGATTCGTTTATCCTAAATATGAATCCGTAGCTTTCCCTTCTAATATTAATCACATCTAAAGCTGGTTCATACTAACCACTAGTTTGCAAAATAATTCAGTTGGCTGTGTTCTCAATTAACGAAAATGCTTTACCCTAAAACAAGTTTATTGACTTGTAAATAAGCATTATTTACATTAGGATTGTTTTCCCAAAAAAATAGCAGAATTTAAAGTTGATATACACTATTAAGTCTCTTTTATACACCAATCCATTACTATTTCCTATCAGACATCAGTTATACAATATTAGCATTGAAATAAACAGTAAATGCAAATTACATAGGCTGGATTCAGGTTTATTCATCTACCTAGACAACAGACACACTAAAATCAGCAAAATATAAATTATTCATGACTAACTTATCTCACTGGATTTTACCAGTCAACACAAAGCATTAAAATCTGGAATCAAGCCAAGCCTAATGTCACAAAGTGAATATTATTTTCTTTCCTTTTTAATAACTTCTCATATATATATATATTCATCCCTGTGTCTTTTCAATTAAAGAGATACCACGAAGGAAATTAAATACCATCTGCGATGAGCTTTTTTTTTTTTAGTGCTCAATTTTGAAGCACTTTTTGGATTAGAAACTAAAAGGATTTTTTCCCCCCAAAAAGTCATTTTAAACATGAATGGACAATTCATTATTTTCTCTGGCATCCTCCCCAGAATCATTCCCTTACTTATCAGGTCCACAGACAAAACCTTAGGATCTAATGTCATGATGCTGCCAAAATAATGAACATGAACCTTTTCCCTGTGATTATAATAATATAACATTTAATTGAGCCACTTTTGTGTAAGAGTCACCAAGCTTTCTTGACTCTTTCTCTACCTCTTTCATAGGCACATTATTTCTCTTTTCCCCATTCTCTAAACTGTCAAACTCAAGAGTTAATTTTAACTTTTGTGCTTAGCTTTCCTTTATAATTTTCTCACTTAGCAGTCGCAATTCCTTACATATACTGTTTAATTAAAAGGAAGTTCCAATCCTTTCCACCCCTCATCTGCAAATAAATAGGTAACTCCTTTGAGTATCCTGATGGCTTCATGGACACATTTACATAGTTTTCCTGGCAATGATACAGAACTGATTTTCCACTGTTTTCTTCCAGGATATTTGATCCTTCATGTACTGTATTTTAAAGGCAAGTTGTATAGAATTTTGTAGACAAAAAACAGTACTTTGGATTCAGAAACTGATTGCAGTTCAATATTCTCAAGTCTTTGTATAAAGAATTGAACAAAGCAAATGAGAACTTTGGGAACTAGTCCATGAGAATTTCATTAAGGATTCTCACCCTAATTAGCAATGACATTTGTTTCTCTACCCCTGATGCTGTGTAACGAGAAAATGAAGTAATCAGCAAAGTAGTCCTCACTTATCAACAGTAACTAGGAGCAGAATTTCCATCATTAACTGAGCAAGTTGTAAAGCATGATATTAATAACCACATTGCTTAGGGATAGCAATCCTGGCTTCCCTGTTTCCATCATTAAACAAGGATTGTGTATTGTTAAAGAAGACCCAGGTGGCTCAAACAGAAGGCAGCAGGCAGGTATGTGGCTGCTGCTAGATGGGGAAGAGGCATGGTGGGTGGGGGAAGGTGCAAGGAACTTTGAAGGCCATCCATAAGTACCACTCATTCAAGGACATTGTAACTTGAAATGATCACTGAAAGAGTGATTATTAAACAAGGACTATCTGTAGATCTTATATTGCAGTATAGGTAGTCTTCACTAATTAAACTGGAAACTCCAATCCACTTCCAAGTAAAAAAAAAAAGAACCATGTCAACACACTGCAGTTGTGAACACAAAGCAGTTCCAGCAGTTGCCATTATTGAGGACTACACAGGTCATTAAGCTTTTGACTTCCTGCTGACTTCCCCATTGACTTTGCTTGTCAGAAGCTGGCAAGGAAAGTAGTGAATCACAATCGCATGACTATGGGATGCTGCGAGGCTGTAAATATAAGGGCCGGTTGTACCTATAACTTGTTCAGCATCATCATAAATTCAAATGGTTCCTGAATGGCTGATTGTTAAACAAGGACCAGCTGTAGTAGTTAGTACGCACAAGCATCTTAACTACTGCAGTTTGAACTAGTTTTAAGTTTCTGGGCTGTTTTCAAAAGCAGCTCCATTCATCTTGTAGTAATGAGTGTGAATTACAGTCACCAATGATGCATGGCCCAGGTAAACCTAAAATTGTTTCACCAATACAAGCTCCCCTGGTCACAGCCACCACCAGTGTTTTTGTAGTAATTAAACATGTAGGAGAGCCCTCTGGCTGCAAATCTGCTCCTTCAGAATGATTTCATTTGCAATAATCGCTGGGGACGCCAAAATGTTTCTGCAATCCTGCCTCCATCACAAAAGTTTAGCTTGTTTCTAACCATCTAAACCAGGCTGGGGAATTCTGGGAGTTGAAGTCCACAAATCTTAGTTGCCAAGTTTGAAGACTCCTGATCTAGACCTTCACAGCCTCCAGCCTTGAAGACACTAGCTTAGAACTTCCACAGTATTTTCAGCTTGGTCTGAGGTGGATGTGGGGATCATCAGCATTCTGCTGTGACCTCACCCAAAACTGACTTCTCTTAGCAGCTTCATAAAGAGCAGGAAGGGCAGGGACATGTCCTGCAGCATCCCATGGTGCAGCATATATTTAATGTTGAATGCACAATGCTTTCTGCAAAAGCTTCACTATGGATTTCTCTTCAGCTTTCTTTGCTCCAGCAGTTTAAACTACAGGTAGGGAAGCCTTTTATCTTTTCTATTATTAAGCCTTTTCTATTATTAATATTAAGTCACCACACTATTCACTGTCAGAGTAAGCAACATTATGCAAAGCATAGAAAAAGAATAGGAAGTAATAAGCTTAAAAAAAACGGAAGGCAGATGATAAAAGAAAATTTAGCTCAATTTTACAGACCAACTCTGGGGAAGGGATGTCCATAAAAACAGAATGCCTGTTTAATCCAAATTGTCATAATTAACATATTTAGATCACTTGCATCAATTTACATCATTTGCATGAATACTTAATTGACATAATTTACTTCATTTGTGTTTATATCATTTGCAAAATTTCAAACTTATACGCTTACACAAGTGATGCAAACCTATGCAAATTAAGTAATGATGAAAATTATATCAGGATTGAGCCCTCATTTGTGGGATTACCCAGTGCTCTCACCCCTCCTGCTTAAAATAACCTCAAACCACAGGCTGAAGTCAACTGTCAACTCAGAATCTGGTACTTGATCCTGTGCGACCTGAGCAATCCCGTCAGTAACTTGTTCCTGTATCTGGAAGTTGACAGAGTCTGGAACAATCTCCCAGTCTTCAACTCAATCCTGACAAAACCAGATAGAGCGCTTTTTCTCTCTAAACTTGGGAACTGTTGGTCTTTAATTGTGGATGGGGTCACACTTCCCCATTTGAGATTAGTGCTCGATCTGGGGCTTTCTTGAACTTGCAGTTCCTGCTTAACGAGCGAGTGGCAGTTATGGCCAAGAAAGGTTTTGCAGAGATTCCCCTTATACACCCATTACACTCATTCCTAGATTGAGAGACCTACCTCATTCATGGATTATTGCAACATGCAATAGAGGTTACATGGGGTTGCTCTTGAAGACCACGCAGAAGCTGCAGCTGCTCCAGAATGTGCAGGTAATAATAGGCACGATTCAGTTTGTTCATGTGACACCACTGCTCCATGATGTTGCCAGTTGGCTGTCCGGGGGAATTCAAGGTTTTGGTTACTAACTATAAAGCCCTTCATGGCCTAAGGCAGGGGTGTCAAACTCACAACGTCATGTGACATGTCACGACGTATCGCGACTTTTTTGCCATTGCCGGCAATGGGGTGGGCGCGGTTTCGCTATGATGCATCCGGCCTGCAGGCCGGCAGTTTGACACTTCTGGCCTAAGGCCTGACTTTTTGAGGGACCACCTATCTCCAATAGTTTCAGCCTATCCCGTACAACCAGTCCCTCCCACTATCCCGTACAACCAGTTCCTCCCACTGTCATCTAGTGGGACCAAGGAAATAGGTCTTCACTCTCATGGTGCCTGCTCTCTGGAACAGCACTCCTGGAGTGATTTGTATGCTCTCTCTCTCTGACAATGTTCCAGTAATCTTGAAAAGTGGCTGTTTCCTAAAGCTTTGGGTTAGGACTGGTGCCCGGACCCTGTAGGATT